CAAAGGATGACCGAGCTGGCCCACGGTAGACAGGTCCGTAGCTACGAGGCCCGGAACGGAAATGCTGGGCCCCAGTACCAGTATAAATTGGGGGACCTAGTGCAGGTACGTAAATGTGCACGTGACCGGAAACTCGCTCCCAAGTTCTCTGACTGTTTTCGCGTTGTTGAACTCGGACCTAACCGCGCTAACACGGTGCGCATCGCGCCTGAGGCTAGCGCCAGCCATAGCTCCATCCCCATCGTAAGACATACCTCCCACCTCCGTCTCCTTCCTCCTTCCGATTTTCCTCCCTCTTCTTCCTCGGAAAGCAAGGAAAACGACGACGATCTAACCCTCTCTCCTCTTTCTCCCTCTTGTCCCTCGTCCTCCTCTCTGACCTCGCCATGAGTTTCATCACGGAGCGGGTTCTCGACGCACAGCTACGGCAGCCACGTGGCCACATCTCAGAGATCCGGCAAGTTTGTCACCCTCGGCTCAATAGGAATCTCCGCCGTTTGATGCGATTCTTCTGCGACGAAGGTATTTGTGCCGCCGCCGCGTTTCGGATAGAAGGAAACCCTCACGCGATAGTGTTCGCGGAGGTTACTGCAGTTCATCGGCGAGCAGGTCCCAGAACGAGCCACGTCACCACAGTGGCGGGATTCACCGGCGACCTCAGCTCGGTCAATCCGCTGCGGCATACCGCGATCTTGGCCTCGCTGCGCGAGTGGACGGAGCAAGTGTCCAACGTGTGGCAGCACGTCCTCGCCCGGGAGGGGTATAACATCATTCCGATCTTTGCATCGGATCTTGACAGTATTCGTCGATCACCGCGCGAGCGGCCAGTTGCGATCCCGACCATCGTCCCCTTCCCCCGTCCCCAATGAACCACGCTGCTCGTCTCGCTCCTCTCTCTACCTTTGGTCTCCCCTCTCTCTTCCCCACCTTCTGGCAATCCGATCTTCACCTTTCTCTTTCCTTCTCGTTCGAGCCTCTTTCAGTCCCTCTTATCCATCCTGGACATTGGCGATTGTGGCGTGAAACTTTTGAGGACATGTCCTTTTGCTTGGCCAGAGTACAAGTGAAGTGGACGGGCACTATCGAGCACCCCACGTGGATCGAGAATCCGGAGCTGCTGATCATATAGGGTTGGAGGACTAACGCGGAAGGAGATCTTATTGGATTCCTCTTTGGATCGGTACGACCGGGTCGCCGTCAGTTGATTGCACAGGAGCTCATCGCACCGATCGTGCAATTGGCGGACGATCTCTCGCCCGACATCTACTTTTAGAGCGACAACAGTCCTGCTCCGTACATTTTCGAGCGATCTTTGGATCCGTACCTTCAGTGGACTTCGTGCTTGGAGGAACCCAGGGACGAGGATACCCTACCATCGCGGCAGGAGTATCTGAAGCAGTACGAGATCATCCCTTACGCCTTCTTTCCGAGGGCAGAGGAAGCGGTGATCAACGACGACGACGAAGAAGAAGACAACGATGAGGAAACATCGGAGGAGGGAAGCTATAGTGAACATAGCGAGGGCGAGCTGAGTGAGGAGGAAAAGGAAGAAGAAGGAACCAGATCCGAGTGGGAAGCCCCGCCGGAGGAAGCGACGCGTACGAGAACGGAGGCGGAAGATCCGGAAGCGGCGAGAAGGCGCGAAGAGATTGCCTCCGGAAAGCGCCAGCTGGAGTTTGCTAGCGAGGCTAGCCTGCGCATCGGTAGTGGTCCGACCAGGGATCCAGAGCCACCGAGGCCCGAAGATGGCGACCCTACAGCCGCCACCTCAAGTACCGCGCGACGGAGACGGCGCCGATCCCCCTCCTCCTCCAGCCCCACTCGTCCCCCAGTTCGCCCACGTACCAATGCGGACGATAGGCCTTTGACCTCGGACGCTGCCCACTGACCCCTTGATTTTCTCACCCTCGAACAGATCCGTACCCCCGTCACCTTCCCTTCCCATTTTTTCCATCCCCATCTCTTCCGCGACTTCTATTCTGCCCGTCTACTCGCCATCGTCCATCCTCACGCCTCCCTTCAGTCCGCTGCTCCCACATTCTGCTGGCATCTCCTGCTGTTCAGCGATGCATGGGAGCGATCCAACGTCGTAGAAGTCTACAGCGTTGCCACTGGGACAATCCCCGCCTGTCGCCACTTCGAGATCTTTCGAGCGGCGCTTTTCCGCACCCTCTCCTCCTTCTATCACGATTACCTCGCTTCCCTCCCCCGCAGTGGCGATCATTTCCCCCGCTTCCACCGGATCATCCGATATGAGGAGCTCCCGGTGACGATGGAAGGAATGAATCGCTTCCTACCCCCACTCCCCCCCCGTCATCCCCGCGAGATCCCCGGCATGTACCGCCTCTACTGGCCTATTCCAGCTAGGCGGTAGATCCCATTCACTTGA